TGGTCGTCACAGTGGGAACCGGTGTACTCGTCGGGGTATCCACATCGCACCCATGGTGCTCCGTGGAGAAACCCGCAACGACGATGGCGGCGCATATGGCGAGGCGCAAGAGCGAATACTTCATGATGCCCAAGTGTGGCAAATGCAAAAGTGAAGCCTATCTCCCCGAGCTTCGTGCAAGCGTTGCGGTCATCGACGTTGCGTTCGGTTGCACGCCGTGCAGATGGTGGGATGCTCCACACTAAGCTCTGGCAATACTTGAACGCAAAGGGGCTTCGAATAACCGCATTTTGACTCTCAACCTTTGCAGCGCCAAGCACCAAAGGACGCCATCCCCACCACAGAGCGTATCCGCGCGCAAAGAGCCATTTACTGCTGCAATACTATAGCAGCTGTACTGCATGCTTGAGCGCCACGACAACCCAGCGCAAAGCTTTGCAACAACACCTAACCCTCGCCAAACACAGCCAATGAACGTGTTGCTGAGGCGTAGTTGCTCCTGGGACAGCGTGCGCAAAACTTGGTGTATGTATCGACGTCGTGGGAAAAGAGAATGAGGAAGTCTCGCCCGTCAGTTGTCCCTGAAGGTGGACCCTGCTGAGCATCGCACCCACAAACCCAAGCAACAATGTCGCAGAAACGGACTATGCGAGCGAGCGTAAGAAGAACCACCTTGATGGTCCCGATCGCAATAGAAAAACGCAGAAGGGACAACACCGACGGGGCTCGAACGCGCGCCTCCTGCAGACTGTAGATATACCCCATGACCGCGGCGGTGCGACTGCCTCTCAAGATACGTGGTCATTTTGTTGGCCGCCAAAATCTAAGCCGTACAAGCGGCGGCAAAGATGATTTCCAAACGGTCGCCCACCATCCGCGCCACATTGGTCTCCTGCTTGATGAGCTCGTCCACGATATCGCAGTCTTGTTACGGATACGGCCTGCATATCCGGAAGATTGCAACCCTTGCCACGACCAATCAGCGACAACTGCTTGGAAAGGCAACCACCAAAACTCAAGCCGGCAGCCACCGATGGCCACGCGACTATTCTCCTATTCCTCGACGACAGCTACGCCTACCTCCTCGACAAGGCGTTAGCGACTGCGCTCTCGTCGATCCCACCGACCCGTACGCAGCTCGACGTCTGGCGCGAGCAGTGCGATTGCGGTATCACAATGATCACCATGAGGTCATGTTGGTCATGGCGGCTCGGTCCGCTGTCACAGCGAGTGGTCAAGCAGGCGTCCACACATGCACCAAGCCGACCTTCGGAATCCATCGCCCGACGTCGCCGTCGTTGGAACCGGCGTTGTCGGCGGAATGCATTGGCGTCGTCTTCACCTGTATAGCCCACAAGCATTAACCGAGCGCCAGTGTCATCGCCTTGGGCGTATCTCTCAAGAGGAGTCGTGTTCTTCCTGCACGGTTGGCACTCATTCATAGCAACCTCAACCACGCAGACCTTGACCTTTCGAGCTGACTGGGTTCATGACCAGAACCGACGATTCCAGAACGCCTGCAGACCAGTAGCGCTATCACGTCAGCTCACGACACCTCCTCCACCTTCGATGGCCGACGTCGTCCGAGCATCAGCAGTGTAGGAATATGCAAAAGATCATGTATTAGGCTCGGCTAGCCATCACCATTACGACCTACTCGTCATCGTCGCTCTCTTCCTCTTCGGCGTTCTCGAGCCAGTCGATGAACGGCGTCAGGGCCTTCTTGAGCGCAGCCGCATGGGCGTCCGTGACTTCATAGTGCGCGTAGTTGCGGCGCGTCTCGTCGACCGACCACGACAGAATCGTGTCTTCGGCCAGAATTTCGTCGTCGTACAAGAGCTTGAGAAGCACCGGGAACGCGTTGAGGAGCGACGGGACCTTGACCGCGCAAAAGTGCTCGGTGAGCGCAATGAGCTGGAACTGGAGGCGCTCCGAGTCGACGAGCTTCTCGAGCACACGCGCGTACTTGGCAATCTCGTTGGCCGCGAGGATCTGCGCCGTGAAGGCGGCGCCAAAGAAGATGGCCAAGCGGTCGCCCACCAGCAGCGCCGCATTCGTCTGCTGCTTGATGACCTCGTCCAAGATGGCCGCGTCCGTGCGCGCCGACGAGAGGAACGCCGTGAGCGACTCGACCGCCGACTCGATCGCACCATCGTCATCGACGTTGAGGTTTTCGAGGGCCGCCGCGGCCTGGTCGGCCGCCGCCTGCTCGGCCGCGTTGGCCGCCATGGCCGCATGCGCCGCAGCTTCAATGGCCTCGGCTTCGCGCGCGCGGGCCGCGACAGCTTCGGCCGAGAGGTCCGTGTGCCACTCGATCTCATCGTCCGAGTCGACGTCGGCCTTGATGGCGGTGTCGTCGTCCGAGTCGGACTCGGCCTTCTTCGACTTCTTCTCCTTCTTCTCCTTCTTCTCCTTCTTTTCCTTCTTCTCCTTGCCGTCCTTGTCCTTCTTCTTCTTCTCCTTCTTGGGCTCGTCGTCGGCGTCGGCGTCGGCAGTCTTGGCCTTCTTCTCCTTCTTCTCCTTCTTGCTGTCGCCCGACTTGGCCGCGCGCTTGGCCGCCGTGTGCTCCTTGATGAGGTACGTCGTGAGCTTGTGGTTCATGTCGACGGGCTCGACCGCGCCGCAGGCCAAGCACTTGTGGAAGATCGCATCCTTGCCCTTGAACTTGTACTTGGTCTCGGGCAGGCGGCAGTTGGGGCAGAGCACAAAGAGCTCAATGAACTTGGAGAGCTGGGCTTGCATGGCCGACTGATCAAACGCACCGTTGACAACCGCGCGTTCGGTCTTGTCGTCGTACTTGGACTGCGCGCCGAGCTCGGTGCCAAAGAACTTGGTGACCTCGCCGGGCGTGCGGTGGAGGGCCATGGCCAGCTCGACCGCGTTGACGACGACGGTCTTGATGCCATTGCCGCGGCCTTCAATCTTGGCGACGAGGCGTGGCATCTTGTAGCGGTACTCGGGGTCGTCGACGGGCGTCGTACCGGCAATGTTGATGTTCGACATGGTGAGAATGTGTTAGAAGACGTGTATAACGGGCTTGTTCTTGTCCTTGGGGTAGCAGAAGCAGTGGTTATAACACAAAAGCATGCACTTGCTGTCGGAAGGAGCGCGTGGAGGGAGCGGGAAGCGGGTCCGTCGAGAGCCGTGCAAATTTGCTAATGCCACCAGTCACCTCGGGGCCGCGACGTATACTGAAACCAAGTGTAAAAAAACCTGTTACCTTTTATGAAACCATCGGCGACGAGCTAAACACACGCAACTTTAAACGACCACCGACAAGCGATGCACCAAGCGATGCACCAAGCCGCCACCAATGATGCAGCGAAGACAAGCGCATATAGTCAAGGCAATCTAGCGACGTGCTAGCATCATGTGCGATACGTGTGGCCGAGACAGTGTGGGCGCTGCAATGATGGCCGAGGACGTTGCTGTTGAAGTGCTCTTGAATGGCGAGAGAGACGGGGCGATGGAGTCAACACGATATACTGTGATATGCATAGACTATCATAACGCTAGAGATCCCAAGAGGCTGACGAGGTTTGGTGCACGACTGTGCATTAGGTTGGCCGTTGGAGGCCAAGATAGGCGCTCCAGCAACCATCGTAGGTTGATGCGAAGCGGTAACTACACTGCTATACACAACGAATAGAGCCTTGTGTGTTGCGGACAGTTGAGTACAAGGTGGCTGGGGTAGTAGACGCTCGATTGCGCACACGGTAAGGGGTCGACGACCGCTCGTTGGGAGACTTCAACGCATATGAAGTTGCGTGGTTTTAGTTGCAGGTGACGCCCAGGCAAAAACGTATTCCGAGAGGTTGAGAATGTTGGTGGTTGTGGAATACAAACCTCAAGTCTATACGAGCGACGCTCTTGGGCATACAAAAACCAAGCTTATTTGTTGGGTGGCCACCAGCGCTGCCCGCGTCGCAACAGCAAGATTCAAAAAGATCCTGGCGGAACCAGGCGGCTTCTTCGCTCCACAGCAGGCGCCTGTACGACGTTCTAGCTCTAGCTACATGTATGTACTACGCACGAGTTACGGGAGCTAGCTGCTTGGGCCTCTGTTTTTAACTTCGAAACCGGACGACGAGCCGCTAATTGAAGCGTCCGATGCTGCACCTGCGACCGTAGCCACCAGCCTTGGCCATGCAACGGCTACGCATGTCGCCTTTAGCCTACAGCCTTGATGTCTCTGCTGTAGCGTGTGCACTGAGGAGGCTAAAACCATGCTCCGCGCTGTGATAAACCATCGGGAGGGAAATAAAACGCAGCGTTTTACTCCAAAGGATTAACGCCTCCAAGCAACTCGTGTCGGCAACAACCCATCGACATCCGCGTGCATGTGCAGGACACAGTTGGATGGCGCCTTCCCTTGAAGTGAAGATGGCGCCGTTCCGCCGCGAAGAATCACCCGCCAAGGAACTCCTCCGATCTCGGGCTTCAAATAACGCGTTTTGCCGTTTGGTTTTATGGGTTAAACCGATTTGCCGAGTTCGACCGGCTTCGGAGCTTCGGCAAAACAGGATCGATCCCACGATGGACGTTCGGGCTGGCGTCGCCGTCGGCGGCCTCCTCGTCGCGCTTTTCTGGCAGCGCCAGCGGCTCTGCGCCGCCGCCGTCCACTCGCATGTCTATGTGAAGCTCCGCGCGCGGGCCATGGCGTGGCTTGTCGCGATCTCGGGGTCGTCGCCGACGCTGACGCGACTGGCACCCGTCGAGCAGCTCTCGCCCAACGTGCTTCGCGTGCTTGGCCTCAACCCCGGGCGCATGACGCTTCAGGGCACGAATACGTACGTCGTCGGGACTGGCCCCGCGCGCATCCTTATCGACACGGGCGACGGGTCGGCGGCGTACCTCGAGCTCCTCCTCACGGCCTTGGCCGCGCATGGCGTCAAGACGGTCTCGGACATTGTGCTAACGCACGCCCACTTTGACCATATCGGCGGTCTCTGGCAGCTCCAGGCGCGCTTCCCGGAAGCTAGAGTCTGGAAGATGCTCACGTACACACCGTCATCCTGCGAGTGCTCGTCACATGTGTCCAACGCGTATGCCATCGACGGCCTCCAGATCCACGACCTCGCGACGCTGCTTGCCGACAACTCGGCGCTAACGACGGACGGCGCGACGCTGCGACCGCTGTACACGCCGGGCCACACCAACGACCACGTGTGCTTTGTCCTCGACGATGATGCGATCTTCACCGGTGACTGCGTCTTGGGCGAAGGTACGTGTACCTTCCAGTCGCTCTCGGAGTACATGACCTCGCTCCGCGCCTTGCGTGCGTGCAACCCCACGCGGCTGTACCCTGGCCATGGCCCTGTCGTCGAAAAGGCCATCGATACCATCGACATGTACTTGAGCCACCGCCAGAAGCGCGAAGTTGAGATCCTCGCCGTGCTCACATCACAGGGGCCCGTCGACGTGGCGACGATTGTGGCAGCCATGTACCCGTCCCTACCGTACTTTTTGTCGCTGGCGGCCGCCCGCAATGTCCGCATGCACCTACGCAAGCTGCTCGACGACGGTCAGGTCGTTCAAATGCCATCGACGTCGTGGTGGTCCCGAGCGCCACTGTATGCGATCGCGACTGTCCCGTCCAAGTGAGACGATGTTGTCCTGTGCTGTCGTGTGTGTCATCAAGTCGAATATAGCTCTAGACGTTTTGTGTATTGGTATCAAAACTTTGTGGAAGCGGCGCAGGCTGCACGAGGTCGTAGGTTGTGCTAGATGCACGTCGATCTCCTGGTCGATCCAGCAACCTCATCTTGATGACGTTGCATATGGCACCTGCGCCTGTGCAGAGCCCTGCGATGCCATGCTAGTAGCGTGCACGATGAACGCTATACACATCTCAAACGACCTTGATGGTCTTCTTATGGAAGGCTTCCTTGTCTTTGGGCGCGATTGTAAACTTGAGCCGCTTGCTCATGGCATGCAGCGTCTTCTTCTCACTCGACTGGAGGTCGTAGAAGACGTCGGTGCCAATCGCATCTTCGTACACGCCGTAGAGCGTAAAGTCGCCAATGCGCAAAATCGGCGTCTCGGACTCGAGGCCTTCGATCTCGAGCGTCTCGTGCTTGTCGAGGATCGGGAACTCGGCAAAGTCTACTAGCTCCACAGAAACGTACGTGGTCATGGCCTCGTCGCCAGCAGCCGTCGCGTCCGTCGGCGCGGTCGCCTCCATCTCGTCCGCGCTGCGCTTGCTGCCCATGTCTCGTTTGGCCACGAACACAACGCTAGGAAACGAAGCCGAATTTTAGCCAATGGCCTTCGATCACGACGGTGATTCGTGGATGCTAGCCAATGAAAACGGCGGAATATCAAATCCTGTTGCAGCGGCGCTGGACCCGCCTGTCTCGGCCGCCGAAGACGATCGCGTTTGCTTGGAGAGCCTGGACGCGACACTGGCGACGCTTCCTACTGCGCATATGCGTGTCGACGTCCGCGATCCAGTCGTCGTTGGACGCGCCACCTGCGCACGGAGGCTCCGTGCGAGCTTTGCCTCTACAAGTCGATATGCGAAAGCAAACCCGCAGAATTGGATATGCTTATCACTGTGCGATGGGCGTGGCAAGATTGCCCTTTTGCTGCAGTGACGAAGTTGTCAGGTCGTCGCACGGGCCAGTGAGCATGGACCTTCTCGACGCTGTCGTCCGTGGCGACGTGGCGACCGTCGCTGCCCTTCTGCAGAGCGGCGCCGATGCCAACAGCCGCAACAACGTACGCTCTTGACCTCACGGCTACCGTTGACCCCAGTGCTAGATTGGATCGCCGGCGCTCTGCGTCGCAGCGATCGAAGGACACGTCGCCGTGGCCGAGCTGCTACTTGCCGCAGGCGCCGCCGTCGACGACGAGCTCCACATGGTATACGACACATGGCTTGATGGCGTCGGCGAGACGACGTGGTGTAGAACCACGAGACAGCGCTGACGATCGCGGCGCGCGGAGGTCCCGTCGCGCTTGTCCACCTGCTCTTGGGTCATGGCGCTGATGTCAACCATGGCAACGGGGTATGCGCTGCTGGATGGTCGCTAGCCTGAACGAGCGAAACACGCTAGATGGGCACGGCGCTGCATGCCGCGATCAGCGTGGGCGACGTCGCCATTGTCGACGAGCTCCTCGCCGCCGGCGCCAACGTCCACGCCGTCGACACCGACGTACCGCGTTTGGCTGTATCTCGCACGGCTTAGAAGGTCCCTTATGTAGCGCCATCGGTCGCCCCTCTTGGTCGCAGCAGACAAGGGGATTGTAGCGATGGCCGCTCGGCTGCTCGACAATGGCGCGATGCTCTCGGACGTCGACAAGGTAGGCTGGCTGCGTAGAGCGACGTCGATGTCGCTGCGCCTAGGACGGGTTTGGAGCCGTCTATTTCGCAGCGCAGGAAGGCCACGTCGACATGATTCGCTTCCTTGTCGTCCGCGGCGCCGACCCGAACGTCCTGTCGCACGTACGTTGCCACATTGCCTATTGAAAAATTGAAAAATTGATACAGTATTTTGCAGGCGGGCTACACACCGTTGTACACGGCGAGCGGCTGTGGGCGCGTCGATGCCGTCGCGACGTTACTCGACGTCGGCGCCGACGTCAACTTGCCACAGGCAGTGCGATCCTGCGATAGGATAATAGGATAGGATATATCCCGTTTGGCGTAGAACCACTGCTTGATTGCAGCGGCGGCGTACGGCGACCTCCGCACTGTCTCGTTGCTCCTCGACGCAGGGGCACATGTAAACGCAGCCGACGCAAAGGTTCGCATTCATAGAGCAAGACTACGTCGTCATGATTCAGTAGGGCGTCACCGCCCTCATCGCAGCGGCCATCACCGGCCACGCCGATGTCGCGCGGCAGCTGGCATATGCCCGCGCCAAGCTCGACGTGTCAACCTGTGTACTATGTTGTAGTTGGAAGGCGACGAGCCGAACGTTGCGTAGGATGAGCAGACGCCCGTGATGCTGGCTCGAGCGCACGGGCATGCCAATGTCCTGTCTGCCCTACAGGATGTACGCACCAAAGTACGTCTTCACTGTGGCGGAGCTAGGGAGTAGTCGCATGGGTTGCGCTAGAAAATGAAGCTATTGCATGCGGCCCGGCACGGCGACGTCGGCACCGTTCGTGCGCTCTTTGCCGAAGGCCTGAGTGCCAACGAGACGGACGAGGTAGGAGTCAAGTCGATCCCGTTGATCGAGCTTATATATCTGAGCTAGCATGGCAATACGCTACTGCATTTGGCAACGCTCGGCCGGCACGAAGCGCTTGTCGCGGCGCTTCTACAAGACCCAACTGTCGAGCTGGACCAGATCAACAAGGTCCTCTGTCTACGATGCCAAGCTCTAAAATCGAATGATGTTCTTTGTAGTTTGGGGAGTCGCCTCGAGCTATTGCTGCCAAGCTCGGGTTGTCCTCGCTGCTTTTGCAGCTACATGCAGCGCAAGTCGGCAAGATGTCCCCGATGGCTCACGAAGTAAAACCCTCGACACTGTAATGTACTTGGATGCCAAAAATGAGGCAGGTGGCGGCTCGCTCGACGGTGCACCTCCAAGAGCTCGGCCGTGGTGGCTACGGCATCGTCTTCAAGGACACGCTATTGGGCCAAGACGTCGCTCTCAAGATGCTTGTGAACAGCAGCAGCAAGGCCAAGAACCTCCGCTACGAGATCGAAATTCTCAAAAAGTAGGACGACGACGGGGATTTGAACTCACAGTTCGCGTGCATAGCAACCCGTCGCCGTACCTTGTGCGGCTACTTGCGACGGCGGATGCCGCCTCGGATGCGACGCAGCTCTTCTTTGAGTACATGGACGGCGGCAACCTCACGTCGTACCTCGAGATGCTGGCCAACGACGAACCTGTGCCCGTGGTATACACGCCCATTGAGATTCTCTGGGTCGTTGCCAACGCTCTTCACGACCTCCATGCGAAGAACGTCGTCCATCGGGATATCAAGACCGACAACATCCTCCTCTCATCCAAACACTACATCAAGGTGGGCGACGTCGGTATCGCCAAAAAAGAGTCGAAGTACATGACGACGGGGGCTGGCACCAACAAGTGGCGCGCGCCCGAAGTGCTAACGTCCGGAAGTCGCTACGGCACACCCGCCGACATTTACTCGTTTGGGATTCTCCTCCAGACGCTGTACCCTAACCCTACCGATCCAAGCACCGAGTGGGCCCAAGCTCTCGCAGCGGACTGCACGGCGGTGGATCCAACGCGGCGTCCAACGGCGGCCAAGCTCATCAGCATTTTGCTGCCCAAGCTCCAGTCGTATGTTCGTTTCTTTATTGCGCACCTTGTGATGGATGATGCAGACAGCCCGATCTCGTGGCGTCGCTCCCAGCCTTTGAGAAGGATCGGGCGGTAGGCTCGCCGTGTACCTCAACGATTCCCGACCAGAAAGCTAGGCGGGTCCTCGACTCCTCGAGACACTGGTTCCGCAAATGCAATCAAGCCCGGTGCAGATGAACGAGCCGGTGTTTGCCCCCATCGTAGCCTCCTTGTCCTTGAAGCGTCACCCAACGTAGTGGTGACTTGTAGCGACTGGGGCGGTCGGGCGCACCACTCAGCGTAAGTTTGCACGTCGGCTTTGCCACGAAAATAAGATCTTGTGTGTCTAGCCAGAAGAAGAGCTGCACTCCGCTGTGCAAGCCGGCGACTTTGGTGCAGCCCGCTCATTGCTCGAGCGAGGCGTGCACCCCGATTGCGCCGGCGTGGTACGTCACCTTCATGTTGATGCGACAAGAATCTCGTGGCGGGATAGACGCGGGAAACGCCGCTTATGCTCGCGGTGCGCTTTGGTCACGTGTACCTCGTGGAGCTGCTCCTCCAGTACGGAGCGAACGTCAACGTCGCTTCCATCGTACGTCATCGACGACGCTCGAGGCAGTGTATCATCGAGGCGTAGGTGCGGATGACGGCGCTGCACGAAGCTGCGCGACAGAGCTCCCCGAATATGCTTCGCAGGCTCTTGCGCGTCCCAACCATAGCTGTTGACCCGCTCAGTCGCGTGCGTGTTTCTACACTGGTGCGTGCCATCACTCAGTGCGTAGGCGAGCGAGACGCCGCTGCACATGGCGGTTGCCGCCGGGCAATCGATGCATGCGATGCTTCTTTGGGACGCAGGCGCCGACTTGGAAGCCGCTGACACGGTTCGCATCCGTGTCAATGTCGGTGACAAAATTGCATATTTTGTGTAGGATGGCAACCGACCGTTGCACTACGCCGCCATCATCGGCGATGAAGCCACGGTCGCTGTGCTGTTGCGACTGGGTGCGCAGACGGCGGCGCGCAACGGCGTACGAGGCTCATCTCGGGTTCCAGCTGAAGGACCACCAACACGACGCCACGTAGGGAGGTGAGATGCCATTGCACAGTGCGATTTTGCGCCAACATGGCCGTGTCGCGACGCGTCTTGTCGAGGCCGGCGTCGATACCACCGCTCTCTACGTACCTCTTGCGACAGCATGTACTAGGGTCGACTCATGCCCTTGGCAATGAGTAGAAAGGACAGAGTCCGCTGCACCTTGCGTGCGAGTACGGCGTCGCCGACGTCGTTCCGGCCTTGCTAGTGCACGGCGTGAACGTCAACGCCAAACATGTATGCTTCATCGACGCAGTCAAGACGCAAAGTATGTGGACATTGCCGTCTAGGATGGCGTGTCACCGCTGTACATGGCCATCGTTGACGGCCACACGAGCGTGGTTGCCGCACTCATCGCCGCGCAAGGCATTGATCTTCACGAGCGAGACGAGGTACGACCTCGCCATTCGCTGCATTGCTTGCATACCTGTAGAATGGCGCGACGCTCGTGCACGTTGCGGCCCGGAAGGGCTACGTCGACATGGTGGCGACGTTGCTGCAGGCTGGTGTCGACTACGATCTACCCGAGACGGTGCTGCTTCCATCAACAACCCAATGTCCTGACCGCCTTGTAGACGGGACTACGAGCCCTCGATGTGTTTGCGTGGAAGGACAATGACGCGATGGTGGAGGTCTTCCGCTCCGCTTACCAACATGTACGCCGTACGCCATGGTATGCCCGTGGCGACTGGCATGCTAGCGACGGGCATTGCTGCAGGCCGTGCACCAAGCCGACGTAGCGCGTCTGTCCGACCTTTTGCAAGCGCGGTACAGCTGCAACGTCGTCGACGCGGTAGTAGAGAGTGCGTTGTCCTAGCTGATGATGGCGTGAATAGGTTGGGTGCTCTCTGGTGCATTTGGCGGTCGCCGCACGCAACGAAGTGGTCCTTGACGCGCTCCTCGCGAGGCCGGACGTCCGCTGCGGTACCCGCAACCACGTACGCTCATAGCTCTTTGGGTGCTGGCCATGGAAGCCAGTTCGGTAGATGCACCAGACGCCGCTGGCGATCGCGATCGAGTGGGGCGACGCGTCCATGGCGACCAAGCTCTTTGATCGCACGGCCCGCGCGGTGGTCGAGGTACGCGTTCGCATGCGGTGAGTCGACCATGGTGTTTGCAGATAGCAGCGTCCGAGTATGACGTGACCACGGCCGAGCTTGGTGTTGGCGGCTACGGCACTGTCCTCCTTGGCTCTTACTTGGGCGAGAAGGTAGCTGTCAAGAAGTTTAGACACACGTACCACCGCACGTCGTTTGCAGCTGAAGTCGATGCTCTCCTCAAGTACAACTGGATGGCCGTCGATCAAGCATTGATGCAAATGATAACGTAGGTGTCGGTCCCCGTACCTTGTACAGCTCGTTGCGATCGCTGGCCAAGGCTCCGAGACGCCAGCGCTGCTCTTTGAGTACATGGACGGTGGCAACCTGCGCACGCACCTCGAGCAAAAGCGCTGGCACCAGCGGACGGTGGTGCATGTGACCAACCTCCGCGTGGCCTGGGTCGTTGCGAATGCCTTGCGCGATCTGCACGCAGCAAAGTTGGTGCACCGCGATGTCAAGAGCGAGAATGTCCTTCTCAGTACGAGCGGCGGGATCCGGCTTGGCGACCTCGGCCTGACGCGGCTCGAAGCCACCGACATGACCGAAGCGCCTGGTACTCGGTACTGGATGGCGCCCGAGATTCTACAAGCAGAAGGGGCCGTCTACGGTTGTCCCGCTGATATCTACGCGTTCGGCGTGCTCCTCACGGAGCTAGCCACATGTCAACTGCCGTACTTTGACCACGACGTCCAAGACCCGATCGCATTTGCGCGCGGTGTCATCAACGGCACCCTTCGCCCGACGCTGACGACCGAATGCGAGCCGTGGTTGCAACGGCTAGTGACGCGGTGCCTGCGTGGTGACCCCACCGCGCGGCCGACAGCCGACCAAATTGTGGCGATCTTGCAGGATGAAATGACTGCAACAGCCGCCGGCATGAGCGTATGCTCTTCTCTCGCAACACCAACTCATACTGTGAGGCGTTAGGTGGCTGAGACGTACATGCGTGCGGTGGCCAAGGACGACGCCAACCTCGTGGCGCAGATGCTGAGCTCCAGCCTCTCGCTACGCACGCTTCTTCCGGTAACGACACCTCTGTCACACGAAGAGTAAACATAGTCCTTGGCCATCTCATCTCTACTAATTAGGGTGCTTTGTCGCTGCTGCATGCCGCAGCGGCCGCAGGAGCCACCGACACGGTGCAGCTGCTCCTGGCTCGCGGCGCCGATGTCAACGACGCGACAGTATACATGTCTATTTCACACAGGCAAGGACCTATGGTGGGATGTAGAGAGGCCGCACACCGCTGCACGAAGCAGCTCGTCGACGGTTCAAGCATGTTCTGCGCCTCCTTATCGATGCGGGCGCCGACGTCGACGCCCAAGATCACGTACGTCGTCAACGAGGGTTAGGGTTGCACTGCGGAATTGGCTCACGCGACGTGTGTAGGAAGGCAAGACACCGCTCGTGTGTGCCCTTGGCGCAGCTAGTCTTTCGTGCATCACGCAGCTGCTTGCAACCGGGGCCGACGTGCGTCAGCCTGCAATGGTGGCGACGGAATGCAGTCGAGGCTTCTGCCAACGTGCGTCTCTCGATAGGATGGCATCACGCCGCTGAAGATCGTCCACGCGAATAAATTTCTCGTCGATGTACTGCCGCTGCTCACGGCCGCTGCGTCGCCAGTACGTCCTGATCGACTTGTTCATTGTCATTTTGTTTATATATTTCCATTTTGAAAAAGGAAACTTCCGGAATGCCCACGATATTCTGTGGGGCGTGTGGCAACTGGCACCTTGTCGAAGCCAAGTGCGCTATCTGTAACTATAATGCGCCGTCGATAGACCGCCAACGGGCAGTGATCCGGCGCCTCGTGCGGCTGCACCACCGGAGTCGTCCCGTCAACTGGCTGCGGACCTGCACCGCGTGCCATGAGACGAGTATGACGATCGTCGACGACCGTTGCCCGCAGTGCGCCCATACGCCAAAGGACGCGAATCCACTCCGACGCCTTTACGTCCGGCTCAAGCTAGCGCTTCGATCGACCGCAACGTGTGCGGTACGCTCTCTCGATCGTCGCCGCCGTCCTTGACAGGTCCGTAGGTTCCGCGCATGCTCTCGGAGATTCCAAAGAGCGTTCTGCGCTGGTTGACGCACGCGCCACCGCAAAACACGCAGCCGCTGTCGCCGGACGTCGCATTTCTCAAGTACGACCTCTTGCGATACGAGCAAATGTATCCGGCCGACGCTGACCCCGAGCGCGTCACGGACCTCGTCACGTCACTGGTTAACTCGAGCACCGCGGTCAGTAGAGATCGAGCCTTGCCTCCTGTGTGGACGTCGGCTGAGAACTGCCAATAGATCGATCGGTCGCTGTGGGCCAGCGCCACGCTGGCGGGGCAAAGCATGCTGGTCCGAGCGTCGAGTCCCCTCGTCGCCGACCCCGTGCCCACGGTAGCGACAGCCATTCAACTCAAACAGCACGGATAGACAATATGTGTAGCTGCCAGTCGCGTGTCTCCTTGCGCCGGGTGTTGTCTTGACGGTGCATGGCCAGGACCTCGTGCATCGTCTCATCAGCAACGAGAGCTACCTCGAGGCCATTGCCAGGTACCCCATCGACTACAGTGCCGAGTCGTCGACCAACGCATTCGAATCAGATGCCCTTCGCCATTTCTCGAGAGTATTGTGGCGGTCGCACGACCCGCCAGTGTCCTTGTCCTTGCGCCCACGGGCTTGAGCCTCGCCGACTGGATGCGCGACTCGGGCGACGTAGTTGCCGCAGCTCGGATGCGAGTGCCGATCGCCATCTGTGTTGCCAAGGCCCTCGCAGATGTCCACGCCCACGGTCTCGTTCACGGGTATCTCACGAGTCATAACGTCTACTGGACTGCGGCGCGGGGCATTCGAGTCAGTATCCCGGGTGCATCGGCAACCAACGAGGCGCTGCTGGCGTGGACGGCCCCCGAGGTGCTCGCGGGTGACACGCCGCCGTCATTCGCCGCCGACATGTATGCGTTTGGCGTTCTCCTAACTGAGCTCGACACGTTTTCGCTGGCGTGCAAAGACGACGATGCGAGTGCGATACCAACGACGGACGTTGCGGGTGTCCGACCAGCGCTACGTGACGACTGTGACGTGTGGATCCGGTCGCTAGGTCACCAGTGCCTGCAGGCGGACCCGCGTCGTCGCCCCGCAGCTGCTGAAGTCGTCGAGCAGCTGCACCGGCGCTTTGGCGACGATTTACGCGAGGTCTAACCAATCGTATCGATCGAATCTTAGTGTATCGTAGTTGTCTAGTACAGCCCGAGCAAAGTATTTGAGATCGCAAAAGCTTATTTAGTATCGGTGCTTCAATTGTGCACCACAGAGAGCACCAATTAGCGAGTTTGCGATTTTCAAAATTATCCAATACCTTGCTTGTGAATTTCAGCGGGTTTGGTCCTAGCGAGCTCGCGAGAGTTCCGCTAACGAGGTCCAAATGTACTAACTGCGTTCGAGCCGTTCTACTCGAGCCCGACCCAACTTGTATTCGTCCACGAGACCTCGAAGCGGACGCGATGCGCTTCGACGCCATGCATGGCCCGGACACAGGACGCCTCTACGTCGAGCTTTCCGTTCTCTCGTGGACAACGCGTGTCAGTCCTCGCCGCCATGAGCTGCGAAGCTTTTGCGGATAAGAGCTCATCGGAGACACGCATAACTGAGCCAATTCAACAACACCATGATGACCAAGATCACTCCTCCGTCCTTGAACCCGTGGCTGAGGCCTCGCTCTATCTCAATCCTTGACAACGCGCTCATCCACATGTACGACAAGCTTAAAGGCGCAGCGCATGCAGAGGGAGCTACGGGTAGTAAGAACGACGATAGTGCAGGGCGCGTCCATCGTGAGCGCCATCATGCATGCCATCTTGATGGCTCGAACTGGTCAAGCTCAAGCCTCGATTTACTCTCGCTATAAAACTACATATTTTTATATGCTGCATTTCCCAATAAGCCTGTTATACGTATAGGTCTAAATATAAATAAGACGATTTGGCTTTTAATTTTTGAATACACGCTTTTGATTGGCTTGTTTCATCAGGAGGAGTCCGATTTACGAGGCCACGCTCCCAAAAGTATTTTTATTGCACCGTGCAGCTCATCCTCCATCTATCTGCCGCCTGCCTCGATTTAAAAATAAAACGAGCTCGATTAAGCGCCCTTAATCGAGGGGCATTCCGACGGAAATTTACAATGCATAAAGAAATAGAGTGAGAAGCAAATACCCAGGAATGCACCGCGAACGACTTGGATGGTCTTCCTCGCCTTGCAGTGTTTGGGCGCGATCGTAGACTTGAGTTGCTTGCTCATGGTATGCAAGAGGCATTGGATCTCGAGCGACTCGTGCATGTCAAGTGTCCGGAACTCGGCAAAGGCTTCAAGCTCAACGACCACGTACGTGGTCATGGCCTCGTCGCCAGCAGCGGCAGCGGCCGTCAGCGCAGTCGGCAAGTGGTCGGCGCTGCTGCGCCCACGGCGGTGGTATCCGGAAAATGGATAGACTTCAGCCAATAGATGATGTTTGTGAAGGTGATTCGTAGAAACGCACCAATGGCGAGCGTGCCTGAGCATATCAAAGTGCAGCTGAGGCTACTCGAGTATCAGCATTCCCACACGGTAGAGACGCGTCCTGGGAGATCGCATTATGAGCTCTATGGTGCTGAACGGTCCTCACTCTGGTGTCATGACGGTCCTGTGCACATTGGTTCTGTGCGTGCGATAGCTTCAACCCAGGGAAAGCGACACGATGTATCATTTCCAGACAAAAATTCCGAAACTCGTGGGAAATACCGGTACGTGCGCATCGTTGATCATTTGTATCAACATGAACAGCCCAGGGCAGCTGCAACTTCTGTCATGGTGGCGATGTGCCCAATCAAAATCGCGAAACGGGTATTTAACCTCTTACAACACATACTATCATTTCATAGCAAATGATATACCTCTATAAATCGATTGCTAGGGTCGTGCTGTCGCGACGCCTCATTGCCTTTTTGACCGCAGACAACCGAGTTGATGTGTCTTGCGGAAGCCGTTGAACGAGGCGATACGGCGGCCGTGGCCGAGCTCCTCCATGACGGCGCCGATCCCAACAGCCGCAACAAGGTATTTGTGCTTGTTGTAGGTACAGCCCGTCCAGACGCACGCGTCGTGTAGATAGGTGAGCCTGCGCTCTTCGTCGCAGCGATGGAAGGACATGTTGACATCGCCGAGATGCTCCTCAACGCCGGCGCCACCGTCGACTTGGAGACACCGGTGTGATGTACAGTAAAGGACAACTCTCACGATTTTGTGCTAGAGAGGCGCAACAGCGCTCATGATCTCACCCGCCAGTGGCTCTGTCGATCTCGTCAAGTTGCTTTTGAAGCATGGCGCCAACGTCAACCACAGCAACGGGGTAACCGCGCTGCGGGATCGAACGCCTCTCGCTACAACATTCTGCGCTAGGATGGAACGACACTGGCTGCTGCAGTGCAGCTCGGCCTCGACGAGATTGTCCAAGTGCTTCTGACTGCAAAAGCCAACGTCAACGACAACAACACCTATGTAATACCCATACTCAAAATGCATATTGCGCTAACCTTGCTCCACTAGATCAAGGCATCGCCGATCGTGGTGGCAGCGGAGAGAGGCTTGCTAGCCATGGCCTCTCGACTGCTCGATGCTGGCGCCAACCTGCATAGCGTCGACAAGGTACGATTTTTTCGTCACAGGGATTTTGTGTCTCTACAATGATATTAGGAGGGGTATGGGGCGGTCTTTCACGCTGCCAACCGTGGCCACGCCGACATGATTCGCTTTCTCGTCTCCAAGGGAGCTGATCCAAACGCGACTGCACCGGTATGTACCCTATGGTGTTGCAACATTGATACACTGATACTCTATTTCAGAACGGAGTCGGACCTTTGTACGCTGCTTGCATGCGAGGCCATGTCGCCGCAGTGGCCGCCTTGCTGCAAGCTGGTGCCAATGTCAACCACCCCGACGCCGTATACTCTTGCACAACATCATAACCGCAGTTCAACCATGGTGTAGGATCCGTGCATCATCCCTGCAGCCTTCTACGACCGCTCGGAGATCATGTCGCTGCTGCTCAGTCACGGTGTCGACGTGAACGCAGTGGATTTCACGGTAAACAAAGTGTTGACACCCCGCATCACATTCGCATTTGTAGTTTGGTGGCACGGCCCTGTATGCAGCGGCCTTTAATGGCCACGCAGACGTCGTGCGTCAGCTAGCGTATGCGAGAGCCGAGCTCGACAAACCAGCCAGAGTACGTGTCAATATTACCTACGACGCCAAACTAAATTACCCACAGAATGGGTTGACGCCAGTCATGGTGGCTCGTGACAACCGCGTCCTACAGGTCCTTCACGACGTACGCACCAAGGTAGTCCAGTAGCTGGAGCTCGATTGGTCATTCGTTCTTCCTGGCTAGAAAATGGAGCTGCTGCATGCAGTGCGCCACGGCAACCTGGCTGCTGTTCGAGCGCTGCTGGCCGAGGGCTTGAGCGTCAACGAGAGAGACAAGGTACAATCTCAAATCTCGGAGCCGCAACATACAAGCTAGGTTGCCTTATGTTTGACATGGTTTTAGCACGGCAATACGCTCGTTCACTTGGCGCTGCTTGGTCACCACGATGCACTTTTGGCCGAGCTCTTGAGAGACCCCGCTGTCGACACGAGCTGCGTCAACAAGGTAGTCGCTGTTTCGTATGGTCCATGCTCAAATGCTCTAGTTCCATGAGTCACCTACAGCCATTGCCGCCAAGTTGGGGGTCCAGTCTCTCATCGAGAAGCTGCACCAATGCAAGACCAAACCGGTGGTTGAGGTCATCTGAACTCATGGAAATGTCGATTCTCAAATTGCTGGTGTTGCAGGTGGCGGCTCGCTCGATGGTGCATCTTCAAGAAGTCGGCCGTGGTGGCTACGGCATCGTCTTCAAGGACACGCTCTTTGGCCAAGAGGTCGCTGTCAAGATGCTTGTGAACAGCAGCAACAAGGCCGAGAACCTCCGCTACGAGATCGAAATTCTCAAAAAGTAGGACGACGACGGAGACTTGAACTCACAGTTCGCGTGCATAGCAACCCGTCGCCGTACCTTGTGCGGCTACTTGCGACGGCGGATGCCGCCTCGGATGCGCCGCAGCTCTTCTTTGAGTACATGGACGGCGGCAACCTCACGTCGTACCTTGAGATGCTGGCCAACGACGAACCTGTGCCCGTGGTATACACGCCCATTGAGATTCTCTGGGTCGTCGCCAACGCTCTTCACGACCTCCACGCCAAGAACGTCGTCCATCGCGACATCAAGCCCGACAACATCCTCCTCTCATCGGTCCACTACATCAAGGTGGGCGACGTCGGTATCGCCAAAGAAGAGTCGAAGTACATGACGACGGGGGCTGGCACCAACAAGTGGCGCGCGCCCGAAGTGCTGACGTCCGGAAGTCGCTACGGCACACCCGCCGACATTCACTCGTTTGGGATTCTCCTCCGGACGCTGTACCCTAACCCTACCGATGCGAGCACCGAGTGGGCCCAAGCTCTCGCAGCGGATTGCACGGCAGTTGACCCATCGCGCCGTCCGACGGCGGCCAAGATCGTCGGTCTATTGCGTCCAATGTTGCAAGCGTACGTCGTGCAGTACTCCTTGTTTGGTGTTTACACCGGTCTCCATTTACGTAGACAACCGCACCTCGTGCCGTCGATGCATGCCTTTGAGCGAGACCGAGCGGTACTTCGACTTCGGCTGTACACACCATTTGAATCAATGAATCTGGTTAGGCGGGTCTTCAAGTCCTCGAGGCCATTTCGATGCCCTCTGACGTCGAAGACGCGATGCCAGCCATGCCCGCGGCGCCAATCATGTCCTCGGTTCGTACCTCTTCGCATTCCGACATCGATTGAGCGTCATGCCTCTTGTAGAGAATCGGGCGGCCCCAGAGCTCTCTCACTGTACACCATTCATCTCCGAGGCAGGGTTCTCACAGCCTATGCTGCCAATGTAGCCAGAGGAGGCGCTGCACGCGGCCGTTGAAACCGGCAAGTTCGATGACGTTCGCGCCTTGCTGGCGAGTGGTGTTCACCCCGACTGCGCAACCAATGTATATCGAGGCATCACGTTTGGTGGGTCATTAATGCATCTGTAGGGGATGGAAACACCGCTGATGAAAGCGATACATTTTGGCCACAGCGACATTGTGAACTTGTTGCTCGAATACCGTGCTGACGTCAACAGCGCTACCCATGTACGTATTTTGAAACCGAGAAAGAATGCTCATCGAATGTATAGCTGGGTATGACAGCGTTGCATGCCGCAGCGAGTAGCGGCAGTGACTTCATCAACCAACTGCTCCGCGTTGAAACCATCAACGTTAATGCAAAGACCAACGTAGGCGGCGGCTGGGGCACTAAGATCTCATTTGCATTTATCTGTGTAGAAGCAACAAACGCCATTGCATGCTGCGATTGCAGCCGGGCACTTGGCCAATGTCATCACCCTCTTGGACGCGGGCGCCGACCTCGAAGCTGCCTCTGAGGTACTTAGCGCCGTATTTGAATTACCCCCTCAATGCATGTACTAGGAGATGCAGCGACCGTTGCATTATGTAGCGATGTACGGCGGCAAGGACATTGCAGCCGTCCTTCTCGCGCGCCACGCCCGGACCTCGGAGCGCGACAAGGTCATCATTCGGTGGTATGAATATGCAGGGCTTTATTGTTGCGTACTGTAGAGTGGCGACACTGCGCTGCATCTTGCGATTCGGCACAAGCACGGTGACGTGGCAGCACTCGTCGTCGAGGCCGGAGCCGATATCAGCGCCCTCTCGGTAACGTCTCACGGTCTACATCGCACCCATCACTGTGATTGTCGAGTAGAAAGGGCAGAGTCCGATGCATAGCGCCTGCCAACATGGTGTCACCGACGTCATCCCGGCCCTGATCGCCCGAGGCGCCGACGTCAACTCCCAGTTCGTACGTCATTTCGCCGTTATCTCAAGGGCTTGTTGCATTCCACTCGTGTAGAACTTAACGTCGCCGCTGATGATGGCAACTCATCACAATCGCGCAGACGTGGTTCGGGCGCTTCTACAGTCACCCGACATTGATATCAACCGGCCCAACGCTGTGAGTATTCCTTCGCTCTTACATAGCTTCTGAGAGACGTATTTGTGGATAGCATGGGTTCACTGCCTTGCACGTTGCGGCGTCCACGAAGTGTTACGACATCGTTCGGACCCTGCTGCACGCCGGCGTTGATGTCGACCATCGGGATTTGGTGGTTCGGCTCACTGATGCAACACTTGGTGTTTGATCATTTCTCTAGGCGGGTGTGTGGGCTATTCAATTGGTCAAACCAGAGAAAGACCGCGCCATGCTCGACCTGCTTCGGCCTGCATACGAGCACGTACGTCGGAGCCGCCAACCCATAGGAGTGACAACATGTATGTGTGTGTCGTAGCGAGAGCGGTTGCTGGAAGCGATGCGTTTGGCAGACGTCGGGCGCCTTGCGTATCTTCTGGAGCAGCCCTATAGCTGCAATATCAAGGACAAGGTGAGTATATTTCTGTCAACAACACTAACGCAACTCTAGCTTGGGTGCTCGCTGGTGCATTTGGCGGTGCTTGCAGATAATGAAGCGATGCTCGACATGCTTCTCGCCGAGTCCCGCATCCGTTTGGCGACTCTGAACAACGTACGACTGTGACGAACCACATCATTACGCAACGACTTGTCTGCTGTAGGAAAAGAAGACACCGCTGACCATTGCCATCGAGCGCGGCTCTACCTCGATGGCCAAAAAGATCTTCGATCGGACGCTCCATTCGGTGGTCGAGGTCTGCACCGTGACTACTTCCAAGTGCTGACAAAGAATTTGGTAGATCTCGGCCGCCGAGTATGTCGAGACCAAGACGGCGCTTGGCGTCGGTGCCTTTGGTGTCGTCGTCCTTGGCAAGTACGAAGGGCAAAAGGTTGCCGTCAAGAAGTTCCGACGCGCCGATTATCTCAAGTCGTTCGAGGCCGAAGTCAACGCCCTCCTTGCGTAATACCCAGT